GAGGTGGCCTTAAATTAGCTAGCTCAGGTATGAGGAATAATGGAGCCATGTCAAGCTGAAGCTCGGCTGTTCTTGGTGTTATCTTGCTTCATGATTTTACGCCTGTTTGGTAGCAGTGTTCATGCACTGGCATAAATCGCTCTGCCCAAGCTGTGCCTCACTTTACTCAGGGAACATTGTTTACGCATACCTGGGAGCAGCGTTCAGAAGAGGACAAGGTAACAGCATGGTAAATCACACCAGGGCGCAGAACAGTTGAAGCAAGAAGCTGCAGATGCCATGGGGAGGAGCAGATGAATGGATGGCAACGTGGCTAGCATTGGCTGAGGGCTGGCACAGGACTTGCTAGGATTTAGGAGTGACAAAGCAGGGTAGAAGGAGTTGGATTAGAATGGAATACTTCAATTTGGTACGGAGAGGGGAGTCTGGGAACTACTGGAGTAATTTAAGATGGCTGCATGGGTACATTTTCCAAGAAAAATCCAAGGTAGATCAGCACTGGATGACAGGAGCAAAGAAATAGTTAAGGTTATCAAGACAAAAGATAATATGGGCTTGGCCAATATTTGTAATGCTACTTTGTTCCTCTCATGTCTCTCTGACAGCTGTTTGCAGCTACTCAGTCAGAGTAGAGGTTGTCGGCCATGTACTCTTCTGCCTTTCCACCAAATAATAGTCTTCATAGCTTCATAGCAAATCATGCTTCATTTCTGCCCCTAAACTCAACCCTATTCTACTTGGCAACTGCCAGTGCTTGCCTTTTCCCAGAACATCTCCCTTTTTAAACTTCCTGGTCTGTACCACTTCCCTTTCTGTTCTGCCTTTATCCATACTCTTCTTTCTTAGTTCCATTTTTTTGCTTACGGATCCATTACTTCTAGCTGTCCTTACAGACACGGTCATGTTCCTCCTACACAGAACTCCCTTGTCATCTATTCCCAAAGAAACTTTGGGGATACTGCTGTCAGCCCCGAGAAGCGCCTTCTTTATGCAGGACACTGTTCAAGCAGCACCTTGCGCGGGGTGCTCAGTCTGTGCCTCAGGGTGCAATGCTGCATTTACTTGTGTAGCAGATGGGAAAGGGGCTGGCTCCAAGGTCTCTAGGCTGGTGGGGTCTATGAAAAGATACTTTTCCTTCCCTCCTATACCAAAGACCATTCAGCTACTGGAAATGTGTGTTGCTAGTAGCTTCAGCACATGGTATTCTTAATTCTGACAAGATTTTAGCCTCTGTGACTGGTTTTTGTCACAAGATTTCAAAACTTCATTGTCCAAATAAATGAACTTTTTCTCACAATTCGTTCCTCTCATACCTAACAGAATGTTTTTGCATATGATGTTTAGAGAGAGTATTAAACACAAGTGAAATAGATTAAGAAATGAATGTAAAAGAATCAATTCTTTTGAACTGTGGTTGCATAATGGAAATCGACTGCTATGAATGAACCTATGTTCAGAAGTTATGAACAGCAGAGCTAATGCACTGCCATGAGTTCATCTTTATTATTGCATTACACCTGAATCAATTGATAAAGTAGCTTTTTTTTAAGGCTAGGAATGGCACTTAATTGAATAAAAGTCAATGTAATTATATTAGGAGAATCCAACAGTACTGCTGACAGCGGAAAAGGGACACTACTGAGCAGAGTGCCAGAACTTGTCCGCACATTTCTGCACATCGTTTGCCTGACAGATATTATGGGCTGGTACATACTTTAACTAGATTACTGATTGCCACTGCTGTAAGTGAGAATTGAATAAGGGAGGCATCTCTTCTTATCAGAGCATCAGCAGGGTTTGCATCCTTACACTGGTCTTTCTCAGAATGGCCTCTGTCCATCTGGGGCTCAGTGGCCCCTCTTTAACGTGGTAATTTATTCTTATCTCTTCGTTCAGTGAATGCTGAAGTTATTTTCACTGCATGCCTGGCTGCTGTTTTTCTCAGCAGCAAACCAAGGAAATATTAAGCGCAAATGCGTGGAAACAGCAGTTACAGTTATCCTGACTGGTTTCCACACTGCAGCAAATTCCCGTACTGGGGGAATGAGGAGGGGAGAGAGGGGGAGAAATCATAAGAAGTAAACACACGAGCACTTTATGAGTAGTTTGTAGTTAGCATTATGATGATAAGCACAAATGTGCTTTTATGGTCATGAAGTAACAGTGGCCAGAGTGGACAGGTCTTCACAGTAAGCGCTTCCCGTGCTGCGCTTAGCAACTTTGCGTGGAGTTGTGTGCCATCTGACACCAGGAAGGCAAGGGACTGTCAGGACTACTGTTTATCATTCATGTATGTGCACACTGCATGCATCTGTTCAGAACTCATTTGTGGATGATAATGGGGATGCTGTGAATATGCTTTGATTAATTTGCTTTATGTTTTTCATATTGTGTGGTTGAGTCAGTAGCCATCAGAACAACAGCGTAAGTGAGATTACAGCTGACAAAAACCAGTTTCAGAGTCAAGACTTTTTTTTAAAGTCTATTTTATTGGTTTCAGATATTAATTTCTTTCTTTTTTTTTAATTTTTTTTTTTAAACCAGATATGTCTGGATTGGAATGTGAATTTGTTCTCTCTCTCTCTCCTCCCCCCCCCCCTTTCTTTCTCTTTTCTCCTCTCTTCTCTCTCTCTCTCTCTTTTGTGATCTTAATTTAGCAAAAGATTAGAAAGCTGATCTTATCACAAGGTAAGCTCAGCCTTCCTAAGTGCAGTGTGGGGATATGCATAATTACACTTCTGCGCCTCAAAAAAGCAATGGTGCTATACTTGCTTGTGTGAAAGGAGTATTTCCCATGTGGGAGAAAAACAAGGAATACTCTCCACTTTTTTTGACCCTTGCCCATACCTCTCAACTGTCACTCATTAGGAGAGAAATTTTCCGTTCTAGACTCCACCTTACTACAATAATTGCATCCCGAGCAGACATAATTCAATTAAAATGCAGTTCAGGACCAGTTTTGTGTCAGAGAACAGTTGCCTGCATTTGCAGGTGAGCGGGACAGATCGTTTCTATTGCTGTTTTCTTTGTTGATTCCCCTAAGTTCTGTGCAACAGATAGCTGGATTGCAAAGAAAGTGAGAGAAAATTACAGAAATTAACTCCACATCAATTTAATCTTCCTATATTTGCGTTTTCCTTGTTTATCTGCATTGTATTGCTGTACCATATTTGGGACTTCAGCTGGTTGAGAGGTATGTTTCAAAGGGTTTCTTAAAACAAAAGCTTCCAATAAGGAAATATTGCTAATAGCTATTGTTCCTGTTCTCCCTTTTTTGTTACTGTAGGACCTGAATGTCTGTAAAATACTTGATCATTCTTAATGTCTTCCCATGCCAATGTTATACCTAGTGCTTTTTTGCAAATTAGAGTATTCTTTGTTAAAACTCTCTCTTTCTCTCTCTCTCTCTCTCCCCCCCTACCCCCCCGCCTTCTTTCTTTTCCCTCCTACATTTGGGCTCTGATCTGCAATTTATAATGGGCAGACAGACTGGTGAGTCTGCATGTTGTAAATTGCGGGTTTGGGTCCTTAGCTTGCAAAGAATGTTACGCAGTAGAACTTCGCTAATTCTTTGTTTACTGGCTTGAAAATCCAGTCACCCTCCAAAGAAACGGAATAAATATTTGTTGTTTCCTCAGCAATGGTGCACATTCTGAATACTGAATCCTAAAGTTTTCTAATACTGAAAACTTTATACTGATTTCTTATTATTAAGCACTTCAACAAATGAGCATGTTCTGTGGTCAGAGGTCTTTGATGTCTGTCATGTTTGTTGGTTGCATTGTTAATTCAGAAAATGCAGTTTTTCAAAGAGGGTTTCCTGACACTACTGCAAATCAGTGAGGTTCTACTGCAATGGATGAATAAAGCCAATGTCAAAAGTGGAGAGCAGAATGCAGTATTTAAAATAATAAGCCATTTTACACAGTTACTAACCCAAAGGCTTACATTGTTTGCAAATGTAGAGCTTTACGTCTTGAGAACAAAGGCCCAGATCCTGTAAAACACTTCAGAATATGTTAACTTGTGGCTCTTGGGATCTGATCCAAAAACCACTGACGTCAGTGACAGTTTTTCCAGTGTCTCTTAAGCACCCACAGTGACTTCAGCACGTACCTAAACCAAAGCCCATGCTTAAGTGTTTTGACTGATTTGGGGCAAAATTCTCACTGCCATTAGTATGTTTTTTTTTACTGGAAATTACACTGCTTGGGTCAGTCAGCACTGCATCAGACACAGTACTGGGAAGAATACAGGGAGGAGTGGTAATGCCCTCCCAGAAGGATCGAACCAGTGACTTTGGCTAAGATTTTCAGAAACTTACATGTAGATTTCAGAGACTTGTTCTCCTAAACCCTTCAAGTCTTCTCCATCTTGGTTTGGCCCAATTTTGAATCTCTTTTTACCAGAATTAAATTATCAGAATCAGGACCTCTGACTATGTATCATTCAGTTACCTTTATTTTTTTCTCTTCCTATATTTCACTTACACAGTTATGTGAGTACATATATATATTATATATTTATATGTATGTATGTATAAATATATAAGGATATGGATCTAGAAATATACATAGATACAAACACACATAGATATTCCATATATTAATAATATTTTCTCTCGAAGCAAGGCTTTTAGGAAGTCCAGCAGGGATTCAGGAACCAAGAAGAGCATTTTGCATTTTCTGTTAGTGCAATTTATTATTTTGTAAATATCAAATAAAAAGGCTGTAGCTGCTGCTGGGGACTAATGTTGAGGAGCAGTAGCTGAAAGGAAACACAATACAGGGAGGGGGAGGATAATTTGCTTGTTTTGTTTTGTGTTGATGTTGCAGTTTGTTCACTTATAGCAAGACTGAATTTTCCAAGAAACATGGATAGGGGATATTTTTATGATAAATTATCGATAAATCAAATTTGTGTTTGGTGCTTGATGACTGTAAGTTTAATCAAAAATACTGTGCATTTTTCCTTTTCTCCCTTCCCTCTTCCTTTCCCAGACACAGTGCTAATATAAACCTGCACCGTAAACTGTTGACCAAAGAACTGGATGACATGGGCCTGGACACCTCACAGCCTTCTCTTAGTAAGGACCTCCGCGATGAATTTTTGGTGAAGATATATGGCGCTCAGCATCAGATGGGGCTCGACATAAGGGAAGATACCTCCTCACCTGCTGGTACTGAGGATTCCCATATGAATGGGTACGGCAGGGGGATGTCGGAAGACTATATGGTCCTGGACCTGAGCACCACCTCCAGCATCCAGTCCAGCAGCAGTATCCATTCCTCAAGAGAATCTGATGCAGGAAGCGATGAGGGCATTCTCCTGGATGACGTCGATGGGGCAAGTGACAGCGGGGAATCTGCCCACAAAGCAGATGCCCCTGCCTTAGCTGTAGGTATGGGCACCGATGTCCCAGGATCCCTCATGTTCAACAGTGTTTCGGTGAGCAACGGTGGGATAATGTGTAACATTTGCCACAAAATGTACAGCAACAAGGGAACCCTCAGAGTGCACTATAAAACAGTGCACTTGCGAGAGATGCACAAATGCAAAGTCCCTGGGTGCAACATGATGTTCTCCTCTGTCCGTAGCCGAAACCGGCACAGTCAGAACCCCAATCTGCATAAAAACATTCCCTTCACTTCAGTAGATTAGTTCAAGGATGGACACAGCATAATGCCAGCTCTCAGAGAGGGCCCAACACATCTGAACTGCCATATACAGTCTCCCTTTATATATATATATATATATATATATAAATATACATATATATATAATCTTTTTTCTTTTCTTTTTTAACAAAAGAAAGAAACACCAGGTGCTTTTTCCCCTTTGTTGGTTGTTGGTTTTGTTTTTTTTTTCCTTTTTTTTTGGGAAAGAAACAAAAAGGTGGGATGTTTAATTTGGAGGGAGAGACCCTTCATTAAAAAAGCAAACAAAAACAAAAACCAAACCCACAGAAAACTTGCAGTTGTCCCTAGTTCTGTTAGAATGTTCTTGGTCATCTCCAAAGAGACAATTTGTTCTACCCATGACTTTTGCCTGATAAAAAAGAACAAAAAACAACAAAAAAAATTGCAAACAAACAAAAAGAGAGAAAAAAAATCTACTTAGTTGTCTTTGTGTCTTCTAAGCATTGGGGATAACGTTCTACTAAGCATGGCTGTTACACTTGTATATATATATTGAGCCTTGACAGGCCTATGATGTAAAACAATTGTATTGATGGTGGTTTAACTCTTATTTTTTTGCTTAATTTTTACAGTTACATTCAGCTGTTAGATAAGCAGGAAAAATAGTTTGCTGGCTAGTTCTACTCATTTATGTTAGCTTTAATGCACATTTTTAAAAGAACCACAGTCTTGTTTTAACTACCTGCTAGATATAAGTAATACAGAGGTGCTGGCATGCTTTACAGTACCTGATCTGATACAGTTTTTTTGTCTTGTACTATTACATAAATCCAGTCATGCACTTTTTCGTACACTACAAGGGGATGTGTAATAATATCCATGCTTTTTTTTTTCTTAAACTATTGCCATATTTTCAGTAAGTGTCTTTAAAAAATACACTTAGATAAAAGTGGTCTGGTCAGTATGAGGGCATGAATGCCAAACAAAGAGTATTAGTGTTTAGTGTTAATACAAAAGTGCCAACTTTGCACACATTTTGAAAAAAAGAAATTGTAGTTATTCACCATAGCCACAGTTTTAGTTTTTGGACTACAGAAAAAAATACTGGGGAGGGAAAAGGGGTAAAGTGAAATACAGAATTCTTGGTGCTTTTTTTAAGTGCCAATTATTACTAGAAACAATAGTGCATCCTTATTCCTTATATACTACATTACATAAAAGAAAACAAAACAGAATTGTGTCATGTGAATCAGTGGAAACTTTTTTTTTGTCAAACATGCATAATATTTGGGGATATAAATGCTGATACTACTTGTCACAGAACAAAGATGAATATAATTTTGTGTGCTTCTTACTATGGCCTGGATTTTTTGTGGTGTTTAAAAAAAAAAAAGGAACAGGGAAATAATGTTAACTATGTTGTTCTGTAAAGTTGTCTTTTTTGCAATGGAAAGTGCTGTAGTATGATTAAGGCATGTTTTATAGAAGCAATCAAAAGAAATTAATGGCAGAAGCACTTAGTAGCTCTGAAAACATATGCTGGACTTTTTATTGGGTAACTCTCCCTTTGGATAAAATTAGATGCCAGAAAAAAAAAAAAAAAGATCTCTGGTTGTGTTAATGTTTTGTGTTTCACCCACATGGTTTGTCAGAAAATAATGAAAGTCCAAGAAAGATACTGAGCAGAAGAGTGAGCATGAACGGGAGAGGGAGAAGAAGCAAGCAGTTGAGAAAGGCAGAGAGAAAGAGAGGCTGTCCTATGAATCTTTTTTGTTTCCGGTGTTTACACATGTTGCTTGAGCTGGTAAACCACACTGGCAGTCTGATTTACCACAACGTACGGACTGAGTGATGGTATTTACTTAAGTTCAGTCTACAGCCAAAACCATTAGGGGGTGTGTTGTAGGCTCTTTTCTTTACAAAAATGATAACAATAACAAAAGCAAAAACAAACAAACAAACAAACAAACAAATGAAACCCCAAGGGATATTTCAGCGTACAATAAAATATTCCTTCAGTGAGAATGTGTTCCTTTTCTGTATTTACTGACCCAGAACATTATTCTTCTTAGCGAAGAGTCAGAAATGCTCCATTGTTTCAGCTTGTCGTTGTTTTGATTTGCTGTGCATTTTGATTATTCTTACCTTTATGTCCACTTGAGTACTTAACTCCTGTTACGTTTTCTAGAGGAAAGTCTTAATATGGATTTCCTCTTTTTTAGTACTCTTTATGCATTTCAGTATTCTTGTTTCCAAAAGTAGGAATCAATAGCTAATAAATCAGTATTTCCAGTTGTAGAAAATAAAAGAAAAATCTTTCTAAATGAATTCTCACTATGTTCCTATGGGTTACAAGCCTCTGATCTTTTTTTTTTTTTTTTTTATTCTGTACACTGCTGAAGGCCTGAAAACATTTGTGGATCCCACAGAAACTGTAAGGAAAATTTACCTTCTGGTTTAACAAAGAGAAACTATAGCAAAAAGCTAAGCAGTTTCACTGGCTTTCTTTCATCTTTTTTATTTTTCCTCAAAGTCTCAACTACTTTGCCTTGTTAAATTGAGTGGAGAGATCTGCTTCGCTTTGTTTTATGTTGTGCAAGCTCAGTGTGTTTGTCAGGGAGGGAAATTAGAACAGTAAAGGTGCATTCTTCTAAAACACATGGACCCTTGTAGTGTTATCTGTACTGCACTCCTGTCCCTCCTCCCAACCATTAGGAACAAGCAAGATGGAAAGTAAAAAAAAAACCACCCCAAAACAAAAGAAAAAAAAACAACAACAAAAATTGAATGATATCTACAGTAAGAAAACCCCACTGTTTTGTAGTATGTATGGTATAAATAAATATCATTTTTAATGAAAAACACATTTAAGCTATATAAATAATTCCTAACTGAATGAATCACTGTTCTGCATTCTCATTTTGTTATGTTTCTTTTAGAGGTCAAATGGTTTTGGTAAACTTGTTTGAAAACTTAAACATCATCAGTAGAAAAAAACCCCAAACATTTATTACACAAAATGAAATAGGACATTCTGAAAAGTAAAGAAGCAGGGATAAACCTCCAAAAACTGTTAGAAGCTCTGCAGTCCTACTTTTATGGCATCCTAAACTTCATTCAGATTCTGCTTAAGCCGTGTAAGAGATATCATCTCCATCTTGTAGACAGAATATTACTCACTGTAATTTCTAGGTGAATCAAGTTGTTTCTTCAGTGCTAGTGATACTAATGTCAGAACAGTTTTTGTATTAGAAGGGCACATACACTTACACTGAACTGAATGGCATTTCCCTCCTTGCTACTTACCATGCATCTGTATGACAATCTGTATTTATCAGAATTGTTCCCATGGTGGAATTTGTATCATCTGAAGTTATCTGAAAAATCCTTAAAAAGGCTGTGTGGTAGAAGTTTGGTTTTACTGACAGAAAGTAGCATTTCTGGGTGATCTCAGCAGCAACCCAGACTGCAATAAGTGTAACGACTGAACATCTCATGTGTCCAGCACAGGGCATGGCTGTAATGGTGTGATGATAAGTGTTGTGCAGTTGCTTATGCCATCATAAACCTGTGGCTATTCCTTCCGTTTCCAAACCTGTCAGTCTAAATCTTTTTGCAAGAATTAGACCAACTATGAGGAGGACCCTCTTCATTTTACATGGAGTTTGTTCCTTCTTGTCTGGTTCTTGGAGTTAATGTGGTCACTTTTTCTGTGTTGTTTCACTGTTTTGCTCAAGGTAGTTGCATTTTTCTGTAAATATCAAAACGGTTTTGTCTACTTTTAGGTAATAACTTTTCATACTGAACCTCCTTTAGAAACAGAACTACTTGTCTGAAGGTTGTTAAGCATTTTTCTTTGTTTTGGAGGTGGGGGGTCAGGAAAGCATGTGATACTGGTTAATCACTAGTTATCTTTTGAAAACCTGTATGAAAAAATTTGGAAGGAAAACAGCAGAGTCAAAGCACAAGAATGGGAACCAGGAACTGACTTTTAATACCACTGGTGGCCCCTTCTCATTGTTTAGTCTTGGACAGATCACAACACTTACCCCTTTGTGTTTCAGTTCTGTTAAAATATGGCTAACACTAATATGATTTTCCCCATAAGGGTGCTCCTGTGAGGACTAATTAGCTGTTGTTAGTAAAGAGCTAATTTAAGTCATAAATACTTTTGCACACCTTACAATATTAGTCAATTTTTCTGAGCTGTATCTCAACCAGGAACATTTTGTTATGGCTGTGATTTTAACTTTGCCTCTTAAACTGCAGCTGGCTCCATGGTGACACGGTAGTCGTGCACACAAAGTATAAGCACTCTGTCACTAAGTCACAACTCAGTTTGACAAAACATGGAAGGTATAGATTAAAACACCTATTAGTATATACACACTGCTTTCAAAGGCTTTTCATGAGTGAGCTCATAAAATCTGTATGTTTCCTAGGGATCTGTAGATAATTTATACAGCAGAAACCGTGTACCATATTTGCCATGAGTAAACTTGTGTATTTCCTTCCTCCCTCCCTTCCTCCCTCCCTTCCTCCCTTCCTTTCTTCCTTCCTTCCCTTTTCTCTCCTTCCCTTCTCCCTTCCTCCCTTCCTTCCTTCCTCCCTTCCTCCCTTCCTCCCTTCCTCCCTTCCTTCCTTTCCTTTCCTTTTCTCCTTTACTTCCTTTCCTTCCTTTCCTCCCTCCCTTCCTCCCTTCCATTGTGGAAATGAAAGTGTACTTTCTCTGCCTGTTCCAGAATTTTATAAGTTTTCCATCACCTATGTGTTTCCCATTCCATCCCCCAAAAAGGAACGTTTTAGGAAAAAGAGTAGAGTCAGGTTCCCAACAGTAAAGTAGCTGCCAGGGGAGGTCAGAACCTCTGTTGATCCAGTCCAGTACAGCTAATGGGAAGTAGGGCTGCAGGGATCCACTTGAGTTTTCCCTGAGTTTTAGTCTTCTCAATTAACACAGTTAAGGGTCTAGGATAGCTAATTATTTGGGGTAGGAACATGCCTAAGCAACAAGACAAAGAGCTG